GTGAGGGGAACTACGAGAGAAACCTTTTTCATGGGGTGCAAGGTTGCCAAACAAAACCTTGGTGAGGTCAGCATAAGCTGCCAATGGAACTCCTGATATTCCCCTCGGCAAAAGTCAGAATCTAAAAGCCGCAAGCATTCGAATTCGGACCAGGCTTGTTTGGAAGGTGCTGGAACACCAGGTACTCCCCGATCTCCTTTGCTACAGTGGATCATGGGGAATAGTGATGGTTGCCTTGAGGAACTGGCATCGGTCTATCGGTTCCAGGGCGACGGTCCAAAAGACCCAAACACCAGAGGGATCGACCGGGCCCGGTTTTTCCGTGTCCTTGCCAGGGAGGCTCACACGTTAGATCCCATACAGCAACTTGTTGAAGGGGGCGTACCCTCGCTCATATATATATATATATATATATACATATTTGTATATATATATATATTTGTATACCATTTATCATATGATTGCAACTCCATACGGGGTTTCAGAGTTCGAGGTTCGGGTTTGCTGAAAATACCACCTGAGCTTCCCCCCTTCTCCAAATACCCATTGTTTTCTAGGGTATGTCTTGGAAAACCTGGTTTCAGGGAACGTACCGCCTTAACTCCTTTTTAGTAAAGGGTTGACATACACTGAAAACCGTGTAATGTTTTAGCTTTTTGAGGTCAAGCGTCCATACCACGAAGCAGGTCTCTTTTGGACATGGAATGGACGCTTCGCGACACGTTGCCGGTCAGGACAGTTTGCAAGACCGTTTTAGTGGTGCTTGATCCAAAAGTGCGAAAAGCTGCTGGTGGGTCCAAAGACAGTTAGGGGCAAGCAAGCGAACAACCGACACCCACCAACTTGAACCGATGGCTCACCCAACAGCGGTGCAGCGAGTTTGCCCGCTGCCCGTATTGGGTCCAACATATCTGCAAATTCTAAACTATAGTTCAAAACTTGAAATACGCCAGTACGCTCATTTTACCCAAATCGGTAACCTTGCCACAAAATAGGCAGAACATGGGTGCGTCTGTCATTGAGGGTACCTTTTCAAGGTTGTTTATGTACCAGAAGAACACCTCACATTTTTGGAGTCCCCTGATGTTGAGACAGACACATATTACATCGCTTGTTTAGTTGTTGTTGTGGGCCCAGCTCAAGACGCGTTCGTCCGGCCATACTGCAAGAGCCCCTATAGCTTCAGGCTCATGCCGAACTCCGGACATGTCCCCGTCGCCATGTGTCCAAAACTAGCGGCTCGACCCCCTTGTGGTGGCTGTGTTGAGGGAAAGAACCACGAGCTTCGGACCGTTTGCGCAGGTCTGCTCCTGGACCTCGCGACTTTCTCGTGGCCTAAGGCGCCTACGGCACCTTAGGCCATCCGCGCAAGAGGCTTCGGATCTTCAGCTCCAGCCGCTGCTTCGGATCCGAGTGAAAGCTCCGCAACCGCGCAGCCGGAGCAGAAGCCGATGCCGGGTCACTGGCCGCCTCATGGACGAAAGTCGCAATGGACTGGGAGAGGCCAAAGTTCGAGTGGGAAATGCAAAGGACTCCCACTTCACTTCGATCGGGGAAGCCACAGACTGTTTTCCAACCAAGGGCAAGGGTCCCTTCATCGGGGAGGTATTGGGGTTCGGTTCAGTGCGAAAAGACATCCGATTGGCAACCAAAACCGTCCAAAAGTCCCTTTCAACCCCTCAACGGGCGCTTGCTGCTTCTTGGGACGATCTGCAACTTTCATGTGACACAAAGGGAGCCCCACCTTGTGTGGCTTTAAAGCATGTGGAACATATACCTTTCTGTGATACCGAAACTGAATCCCCATGACTGCTGCATCACTTAGGGCCTAGGGGGATTCCCTTCACGGAAACTGGTTCTCGGGAATTCCTGCAAGGGGCTCACGTGGTTGAAAATCCAATTGGGTGCCGGAACTTGGACGCGCAGAAAGCGTCGACCTAAAAGCCGAACAAATCAAAGACGTCCGACGTTAAAATCTCTGGGAACAGAAGGAAGCAGCACTTCACGCACAGTGACGTCGGGTGCTACACAGGTGCAAAGAGGTACCACATCCCCCTGGGTTGCTCTCCCTCAGCAAAAGGTCTAACCGCTTGTATGTGTAATGGAAAAGCCGTTTGTTTCCGAAAAGGTCTAAGGCGCTAAGGAACCACCAAAGGCAAGCCGATTCGGGGAAACTCAAGCTGTGCGATTTGCACCAGGTCCAACATGACTTAGAACCAAAAAGGGAACGAATGAGTTCTTGCTGGTGCCCTATCAAAGTACCAACAAAGGCACAGCTGGGTGTGTCTTATTTTGAGGGTTCACTTTTGAGGATTGATTGAAAGGGATACTAAATAAGCCGCATGGGCATGTGGCAAACCTTTGCCACACCAAAGTGGATCCTGGAATCCCCTGTCGCTACTTTAGGCTTGCCGGAGAACAGATAATGGCAACCCAAAACCCTTGGCATTCCACAACCATTCTAGCCGTCTGCAACAAATTGTCCAAGATCTTGTGACATGATTGCAACCAAGACATTGGTGGGGAGGGATTCTGAAAAGAACGATGGGTGAACAGAACGCATCAAAAGAACCAAGGGTTGCCTATTGTTATCATCATGATATCTCCTATGTACATGGTTTGAGGACAAAACTTTGTGCTTATTCTTTCATCCCGGAACCCAGACGCTCACCGCAATGCAGCTCCGGAAGCTAGGCCCAAAACGACGAGCGCCCGTCGCCCTGCGAGAAGGGAGCGCAAAACAAAACAAGCTGTGAATATTCAGTGCTGTTCAAATGAAACCAGCTGAAATTCGAAGACCCTGGAAAAACCCAAGAGGGGGAAGCCTTGGCAAGGCTCCGGCAACGGCGCTAAGACACGTGGGTATTTGGAGAGACCATTTGAATTTAAATTAAAAATAGAAACCCCCGAAATGGAACCCTGGTAAATGGAAACAAGGACTAAACCAGCGGTCCCCCGGTGGTTTAATTTGACCCATACAGGTATGTTCCCCTTCAAAACTGTGTAAAAAGGATGCCCTGGAAAGCAATCTCAGGTACCCACCTAAGTCACCTAAGGGTGTTTTGCTCCTGCTTTGGTTGGCTCGCCCGCTTTAGAACTCCAGGGACGCCAGTCAAAGATGGAGAAAGGAAAGGATGCCATTGCGAGTCTCCTGCCATGGTTTGAGTTTGATGCATAGACCCCACTTTAATGAGGAACGCCCTCCCAAGTGGACATGAATTCCCATCTTTTTGGCTGGGACTGAACCTAACCCTTCTACCACGGGTTGTGACTGTGGCTCACTTGGCAGGTTATAAACTGGGGCGTCCCTTTCAACTTTCCGAAGCCCTTGCCTTGCAGCCGCGCAAAAGGCTCCGGCGCCTGCGTGCAAGCATTTGGCATCCAAAAAAACGGGGCCCTTGATGGATACGCGATGATACGTCGCTTGCGATGCGTTGACACACCCTTTGAAACAGCTGCTAGAGGAACGCTGGAAATCTGGGGATGGAAATGCGGAGGGCCTCGAACACCTTTCCAAGAAGGTTCACTCTGGCCTTGGCGCATATGGCAAAGCCCCTGGATTCAAACCATAAAAAGGAATGGTTGCATAACGTTCACAATTTGGTTTTTGAAGGGGTCATTATTTTCAAGGAAAGGCTCCTTCAACCCGAGCCAGATCGGGTGTTCCTGGCCAGGAACATTGGATCGCGCCTTTCGTGGGCCAAAAGAGAGCACTTTGGGACGCTTTTGCGGCCCTTCGGTTCCTTGCATGTCCCCATCACGCATCCAAGACACGTTGGGTGATGTATTGAGCGCCCACCCCTCAAAGCAGGGAATGCCGTTTTGAATGCCTGCTGGTGGGATATCGGAAACGGGTGTGTGAGCCAAAGTCATAAAACTCAAGGAATCGATTCGTCCACGAGGGGGGTTTTGTTGGTGAGCGGAAGCCAGTAGGATAGCAGCCAGTTTGTGGGTTCCCTATTTTGAGGCAAATCCATTGGGCCCCTTTTGACAAAGGAAGCAAACATGTCAAAAAACGAAATGTGATGTGTATACGGGACATATCAAGGACATCTTTCGTTTGTAAAGAAAACCACGGGACAACTGAGCCGCTTCGAGGTCTTCCCACTGAAAGGGGCTGCTCACCTAGACCCAACAGGTGATATTCAAAACCACCAAAAGGCAATTATAGGCCCTCAGGCAATTACGCGGCACCTGGTTGTAACCAACGCGGAAGAGGACTTACCATGGGCTAGCATGGTTACTAGCTCTGACGTACCCTGCCTTCGAGACACACCCATCTTTCCCAAACAAAATACAAATCAAAGGGTGCTTCAAAAGGAGCTCGAAAAGCGGAACGCCTGGATTAGTCGAAGGTTACAATCCCATATTCGTAAGACACACCCAATTCAAACCACTTAGTAGGTTGTAACCGTGGTGAACCCCAGTTGCCCCAGTCATATCCATGATGGCTGCAACCTACATGGTTGAAAATGCAAGGTACACGCCCATCTTCCCAGTGAAACCTGCCTGGTGTCGCTTCACCACGCGGCGCTTCGGCCCATGCGCACTGGCCTGAAACTGTTTTCCGACCAATAGGAGGCATGTTTCTTGAGGGGACCCCTTTGTTCTTAGTATTTATCTTTTCCACTCTTAGTCTCTAATTTTCCCTTCTTGGTTTCAACACGTCCCCTTGAAGTTTGAACACTTCCCCTTTGTTGGCGGTGTTGAAAGGGAAACAACACGGACGACCACCATTTGGGGGGGAGGGGGGCGCCAACCTTGAAAGAGACACACCCAGAAGGCCCGTGGCTCCCAATGGCCTCTAGTACACTCTGATGGCTGCAGTGACGGGGGCCATGGACATAGGTTAATTGAAGTCTATAAGTCCCCTGAAGATTCACCCAAAAGGCGCAGAGGGACTGACTATTCCATCCAAGTACCCCCAGGACCAATTGGGCACAAGTCTTATGTAGTGGTTATTTTGTGCTTGTATTCGTACACCACATTGCCTCCTCGGACTAAGTCTTCGTCTTCTGCCTCTTCTTCTCCTTCTCCTTCTTCTTCTTCTTCTTCTCCTGCTTCTTCTTCTTCCTCTTCTTCTTCTTAGACATGTTCTTTGTGGCTTGAAAGCATGCTTGACTCCCTCCTGTTGCTTCTCAGAATCAAGTAATCCTGAGGCAGGGTTGTGGAAGCTGCACTTCCACTGTGATACTGTTTGAGCCGGCCTTCCCCAGAACCAACTCTCCAGGCAAAACGTGGTTTCAGTTCCGCCCTGCTACCCAGGTGGCAAGATCGACTCAGTCCGTGGGGGTCCTCTGCCTACCCTCCGGAATCCGAAGTTCCACCAGCGTGAAAGTGGATTCCACAACTCCCTTGTGGGTAAGGGTGTGGCCGAACCATGGGAATGGCGCCTACGTCCGAGTGTTAAAGTACCCCACAATGCCCCAGAGTCGCAAATCATTTTGTGTCTCTCATACCCTCGGAGGCCCCTCGCAACCAATTCCAAGCCGGGCCCGGCGCCCATGCTTCGTCACAAATGGCTTGCACCTTCATCCAGGACGCCTCCCGCGGTGTGGGAGGGGGCGGGGGGAGGAGAAGCGAACGTAGTGGCTCCTTGATCCATTGACAAAGCACTGGGGTTTTTCATACACCTCTAAAAGTCTGAGGAGGTCTTGGGGGTTAGTTGCAACATTTGCTACAATCGCCCCTGGTCCCTCGCTTACAAACAACAAGAGGAGGCTCTCCAAGAACGGCGGCTTCAAGACCTTCCAGGTCTTTGGGGCCCGCATGCCGCGAGCCCAAGGATGCATCACAGAATTCCGATCGGCTTCCGACTTTTTCAAGGCCAGCTTGGGATAGCCCCAGCTCAACGGCTCCCTTCCAATCGGCTATGTGGTAAATTTGATGGGTGCCGGACCCTTTTGTCCACCAACCACCTTTTAAGAAGGTTCCCTATCTAAAAAAGTTATAGATCGTATTCTTGAAATAACTTCCCCTTTCTTGTCCTTTCCGGATTGAACGGCTGGTTCGTCAAAACCCGCGGGACCGGTTGAAAGGAATGGGGAATCAACGTCCCATGGGACCCCATCGTGACTCACGTCGCCTCAAGCGAGAGCAGGTCGCCATTCAGCCTCGGTCGCGGAACCAACGTCAAATCGGGAAAGCCTCGTGGGTTTCCTGAAAATGTGTGTGTGTGTGTATTTCTTGACGTGACCCCAAAATTTATCTTGGTTTCCCTTTAAAACCACCCAAAAAAAAGGGGGAGCCTCAAGAAAAGACGCAGCCCCAAGAGAAAACCAAACCCCAAAAGGGCACCGAGCCTAGCACAAACTGTTTGACATTCTGGGTGCCTACCTAAACGTATTTCTCATGGTGGGTTCATTCTCTACCTAAATGTATTGCTCATGTTACGTTCAACCTCTGCCTAAAAGTATGTATCTCGTTGGGTTCAACCTCTATCTAAACTTTGAAAGTAGTTCTCATGTTGAGTTCAACCTCTACCTAAACGCTTTATCATGTCGGGTTCAACCGCTGCCCAAACGTATTGTTCACGTTGGGTTCAACCTCTACCTAAACTTTAAAAGCATTTCTCATGTTGAGTTCAACCTCTGTCTTAAGGTATTTCTCGTGTTGGGTTCATTTCGACGATGCTGTCGGACTACAACACGTGGGGTATTTGTGGGGGTCCCCTATTCTAACAAATTCGTGTTCGGCCTTTGATTCTTCCTACTCTCCAAGTATCCGCAATTGTTCCTCCCCGCATGGCAATCCAAGGAACAGTTCTTCTCCAAATGCCCACTTCTTCAGACCATGCTTTTTGGGAAGCCAGATTCTCCAAGCTAAAATCCCCTCTTTCTCATCGCTCCCATCATACAACAAAAGCGATGAGCGGAGGGGTAGCCCCTGAGGCTCTCAAGACGCTGGGGTAACGAACTCCGGGTGGGTTAGCTCCGGGTTCCAAGTGACGAGAAGTTAAACCTGCTTCTAGCTCGTTAGTCAGTTGGTTGGTTGGTAATGGCTGGAAATGGTTTAGTACTGGTTGGTATTGGTTGGTCATGGTTGGTACTGGTTTGTAATGGTTTATTAACTTTGGGGTTTATTAATCAGGAGTCGGCATTACCGCATCACGCAAGCTGGCACGAGCCTCTCTGATGGGAACAAGCCTCCAACCTACTCACTCTGGCTTTCGGGTATGTCTATCAGTACTATGGAGAGAGTGTATAGATTTGTACATACACGTACATACTTATAAGATCTGCACGATAACTGCGGGGAACATCTTTTTCAGGATTTATATCACAAAGCTGAGCCGTGGCAAACATGGCGCCGCAGCCTCAAAAATGGGCCCTCAAAATGGCTTATTTGCGGCGCGAAAACCCAAGCCTCGACTCAGAAAATAGCTGAGTTCGGAGGTTTGGGGTAACTTCGTTGGCTGAGCACCAAGCCCTTTGACTCTTGGTTCTGCAGCAGCTTACATTGGCTTTAGGAAGCGATTTCGGGCGCTCGCCTGACTTTTACGGCGCAATCCGCCTGGGACCCTGGCAGCTTCTGCAACCGCTGAAAGGCCTGCAGCCCAGCCTCGCGGATTCGCTGGCGACCCGGTTTTCGATAGAATCCGGACAAAAAGCAACCGGGCAGTTAGTAACAAACCCAATCAAACCAAAAAACAAACCAAAACATGAGGCCAAGTTGTGGATGAAATGCCCTGGAAGGGCTTCCGCTGCGTCCGCTCCGGCGCGCGCTGCGGCGTGCGCTCCTTTTCTGGCTGGAGAAAATGCCGCCGAGCCGCTCGGGCGGCGCGGTTCGAGTCAAGCGAGTTCTGCCCATGGCCCATCGATTGGTTATGGATGAACCCCCATGAACACTGGGATAACCCATCTACCAACTCGAGCAGGATCTTGTGGCACATGATATGTACTTTTACCTCACCGCTTCACGCATCCCTTCAGACCAATTCCCACCCTAACAATGCACACGACCTCAGCTTTTACTCCAAACAAAATATACCTGGGACACCCTGAGGGTACACTGCCAAAAATCATCATTTCGCCGGGAAAAATCGCCGTTTCGCTTCGACATGTAATGCTGATTTGGGGCCTCGAAAAATCGCCTTTTCGCTGCAAAGAATCGCCGTTTCGGCAATCATGAAAAAAGGTGCTGTTTCGCCTGAAAGCATGGTTTTGGCAGAAAGAGCTAAAAATTGTACCCTTCAGGGTGGTCCAGGTATGATTTATTCCATACCGAGGGGCTTCGCCCATTTCGTAAGAGATCTAATTTAATGTGGAAGGTACAGCTAGACATGCTACTGCAAGTTCTACACTCAGTTCCAGAACTTGAAATAGGAAAGACCCCAGGCCAAGCAAATAACCTTCCTGGCTAATCTCCCGTTTTACCCCCGAATCACGTAACCCACAGGAACATATTCGTGAGCCGAAAAAGCAAGACCGTCTCAAAAAAGACTCCAAGTAGTTCATGCGTGGCTTGGCCGAAAAACAGTCCACACTTTTGGTTTACCGCTGAAATGGTCGCCCCAAACAAACTATAAAGCAGGAACTCAGCTGAGCCAAGGATTCTGGATTCACGTTGAACAGAGTTTTCAACGGCGACATCAGGCACTTTGATGCTTCTGGCCGGGATGCTCCAAGCAACCTTGTGACGATCAGGAAAAGAAAGCGGCCCTTGGCAAAGGAAAACCAAAGGGCCCAATACCAATCCCCCTACTCCAAATACCCGTTTTGTTGTGTTTGTTTTTCTTGTTGGGGGGGGGGGGAGCATGATGTCACCCCAAGTTCACCCTGACTTAGAAAGGAGGCATCTACATTCGAAAACCTGTTTCTTTTGGCAAAGTACCAAAACGCGTGTTGTTTTCTTTTTTTCGTCGGCGGGTTCCCCCAATACCCAATGCCCGCTTTTCAGGGCATGATGTCAGATGATGCCAACCCCTGGCAAAACAAGGAAGGAAGGTTCCCTACCAAAAAAATATCAAAACCGAGGAAGGCCGAAACCGAGGAACCCATCCGCCTGAAGCCCGGTGCGAAGCTTCAAGCACGGGGTCTTCAACTGCCTCCGCTCACGAAGAGCGAGGAGGCGCACAAGAGAAAGGCCCCATATGGGGCCTACGGGTGCGTTTTTAGAACCCCAAAACCAACCCCAAAAAGGGTACCCTCAAAAAAGACAGACCCAGATGGGTTCCTCCCGAGCCAGCTGGTTTCTTTCGGCCCTTTTTGTGTTAAACATGCCCAACCCCTTGCAAATTTTGCTCAAACCGCCTGGTCCCTTCATAGGGAAACCCCTTTGAGGCCTCGTAAGTATCTCCTTTATCAGCACAAACTATAAGAAAGCGGGTATGTTTTTGGAGTATGGGCAGGTCTCAAAGCGTGACCCCCTCAGAGTTGCCCGCACTGTGGCGAACGGGGTGCAAAAGGACTTGCTGGCGCATCGGTCAGGCCCGGAGTGCAACCGAAAAGGGTCATTCTCCCGCTTCAATCTCCAAACCTAAACTGCTTGTTGCCAGGCTTCTTCATGGATGAAGTTTGTTGAACCGGGTCTGGTTTTTGCTCAGATCTGATTCCCACTCTCCTTATGGTTCTCCTGGTGAAGTCTTTGTTAAGGCTTCGCGAACGCGACAAGTGGCCGTGCTTGATTCCGAAAGATCGCGGCTTTTGAAGAGACCTAAGTCAATATATGTTGCTGTAGAGTTGAATCCATGATGACTTGGGCGGTGAAAAAGAAAACATCCCATCTGCAAAACAGTCCGGCAAACAACGGAAAGCGCCGTTGCGATGGCTTTCCCTTGCTTTCCCTTGCTTTCCCTTGCCTTCCTTCGCTTGACCTTGCTGTTTCCCTTGCGTTGCCTTGCTTTCCCTTGCTTTCCCTTGCCTTCCTTCGCTTGACCTTGCTGTTTCCCTTGCGTTGCCTTGCTTTCCCTTGCTTTCCCTTTCCGTTGCTTTCCCATTTCCTTGCTTTCCCTTGCTGTCCCTTGCTTTCCTTTGCTTTGCCTTGCTTTGCCCGTGCTTTTGCTTGCTTTGCCTTGCTGCCCCTTGCTTTACCTTGTTTTCCCTTGCTTCCCTTGCCTTGCTGTCCCTTGCTTTCCCTTGTTTTCCCTTGTTTTCCCTTGTGTTCCCTTGCTGTCCCTTGCTTTCCTTTGCTTTGCCTTTCTGTGCCCGTGCTTTTGCTTGCTTTGCCTTGCTGTCTTGCTGTCTCTTGCTTTGCCTTGCTTTGCCCGTGCTTTTGCTTGCTTTGCCTTGCTGTCCCTTCCTTTCCCTTGTGTTCCTTTGCTTTGCGTTGCTTTGCCCATGCTTTTGCTTTCTTTGCCCTGCTATCCCTTGCTTTCATTTGCTTTCCCTTTCACTTGCTTTCCCTTGCTTTCCCTCGTGCTTTTGCTTGCTTTGCCTTGCTCTCCCTTGTTTTCCCTTGCTTTCCATTGCTGTCCCTTGCTTTCCTTTGCTTGTCTTTGCTTTCCCTTGTTTTCCCTTTCCTTTGCTGTCCCTTGTGTTCCTTTGCTTTGCCTTGCTTTGCCCGTGCTTTTGCTTGCTTTGCCTTGCTCTCCCTTGTTTTCCATTGCTTTTGCTTGCCTTCCCATGCTTCCCTTTGATTGTCCTTGCTTTCCCATTCCCTTGCTTTCCCTTGCTGTCCCTTTCTTTCCCTTGGTTTCCCTTGCTTTCCCTTGCTGTCCCTTGCGGTCCTTTGCTTGTCCTTGCTTTCCTTTGCGTTGCCTTGCTTTCCATTGCTTTCCCTTTCCCTTGCTTTCCCCTGATTTCCCTTGCAGTCCCTTGCTTGCTGTCCCTTGCGGTCCTTTGCTTTCCTTTGCGTTGCCTTGGTGTCCCTTGCTTTCCCTTTCCCTTGCTTTCCCCTGATTTCCCTTGCAGTCCCTTGCTTGCTGTCCCTTGCTTTCCTTTGCTTTGCCTTGCTTTGCCTGTGCTTTCGCTTGCTTTGCCTTGCTGTCCCTTGCTTTCCCTTGTGTTTCCCTTGCTTTCCCTTGCTTTTTTGTTGCTGTCAATTGCTGTCCCTTGCTTTCCTTTGCTTTGACTTGTTTTGCCCGTGCTGTTGCTTGCTTTCCCTTGCTGTCCATTGCTGTCCCTTGCTTTGCCTTGCTTTCCCTTGCCTGGCTTGCTTTCCCCTACTTTCGCTTCCTTTGCCCTTGCTTTTTCTTGGTTTGCCTTGCTTTGCCTTGCTGTCCCTTGCTGTTCCTTGCCAGCTTGACCCAAGTCAGAGCAAACCAACAACTGCACAACCCTCCTGCACTGAATCACATACAAGCAACAACCCAAACCAGCGCCCGTACTTACACACCCCGTGTCGTCTCCCTGGGACCTGCAAACCCGCCTTGCGGTGGCAGAAAGTGCTCCAAAAAATACTCCCAAAAATGGGAGTATTTTTCCTGCGACATCCCCAGCATCGCCGACCACCACAAAAACTTCCAAAACAAGCGACATCCCCTGCATCCCCGGCATCCCCGGCACCCCTTGTGCGCCCAAGTCCGGCGAGGCCGGAAGCAAAGTGAAATGATGTAAAACTGGCACGCTTTTTGGCCCGCGAGAGCCACAGACGAAAAGGTCAGACATGATAGGCAGCGTCGACGAAAAAGCGCGAAAAACACAGGGAAAACACCAAAAACCAGCCTTGCGGTGGCAGAAAGTGCTCCAAAAAATACTCCCATTTTTGGGAGTATGTTTCAGCTGACCAGACCTGCAAATCTCCCGGAACGAGGTTACCCCCCCCCCCACACCCCCCCCCCCCACAACTTCGTACACTGACTCCCAGCGCTTCAAGAAGCGCTTTCCGTCATCATAGAGATAGTTGTTCCACCCCCCCCACTCCCGAGAAGCAAGTCTTTTGGGATTGGACGCTTCGCTTCCGTGAATCTTGCCGCGAGCTCTTTGGTTCCCAGCTTGAAAGGGAGAGAACAGTGGACCCAGCGCGGGTGCTCCAAGGGTGGCAATTCGGGGAAAGGAAAGCAGGGCCCGATCAAAGCTTACCAATGTTCAGGTTCGGAGGCATCCCAAATATACCCCCGTAATCTCCACCCATTTGTTCGGGCACTTTTGTCAACATGACTAAAAATGGAGGTACCTACCATGGAAAGACAGGGGGGGGCATGTGCTTTTTTCTCATGTGTTGTTTTTTGTTTGGGGGGGGGAGGTACCTGTTGTGTGGATGATATGTTTGTGCCTGTAAGAGAAACCACGCGTTGGAGGGTTCTGTCAGGAATAGACAAACCCAAGTGGCTCTTGCAGAAGGGGGTAACCTCAATTTTGAAGGGTGCGCCTTTATAAGTGTCTCTGCAACCAATCAGTGGCCAACATGGGCTACTCACAACTCACACTTCCCACCGCTTTAAGGAGTACGCCGTTTCAAAGACCATGTCTTTCATGAGAAGTACCTGCCTTTTTGGCCGAGGGTTAAATCACGTACTTGGAAAAAACAAAGGAAAAAACAAACATGTGGGCGCGGTTGTTTTTGTAAAACTCACGGAAGGCTCGACGCTCAGCGCTGTACCGGCAGGGAAGCTCGGCAAAGAACCTGCAAGCGATCTCAAATTCTGTCACCCTCGCCTGCAAGAAACGCGAAACCCGACAATATGCCTCCCAGGGTGAAAGCAGATACAACCCCCTTTGCGTGGATAGGCTGAGGGGATGGCTGACCCAAAATGATGGAATTGTGCAATCTATTTTCACCCAACTGAAAGTCTCCCAACACGCAAATCGTCCGCTAACATCCCACGCTTGGCATGGCCCTCAGGTGCGCAACAGTCAAAACCGGGCATGAAGTCTACTGGAGGACAGCCCAGCCAACCAAAAGAAACACGCGGCAATCCGCCTTCTTGAGTGTATTCATGTGTGTTTGGCTTTCGTGTATGTATGCATGCATGCAGGCACGCATGTATGTGTGTATGTGTGCGTACGTGAGTATCTGTGTGTAAGGCTGTATATTCTCTGTGTGTGTGTGTTGTGTCTGTCTATGCTATATTGCGTGCATGCCTGCATGAGTGTATGCGTGTATGTGTGTACGAGCGTGTGTGCGTGCTTGCGTCTATGCATGTAAGTAAGTAAGCAAGCAAGCAAGCAAGCAAGCAAGTAAGCAAGTACGTAAGTACGTAAGTACGTAAGTACGTAAGTACGTATGTACGTATGTCTGTATGTCTGTATGTCTGCATGTGTGTATGTATGTATGTATGTATGTCTGTATGTTTGTATGTCTGTATGTATGTATGTGTGTATGTATGTATGTATGTATGTATGTATGTATGTATGTATGTATGTATGTATGTATGTATGTATGTATGTATGTATGTATGCAATGTAAGTATGTAAGTATGTAAGTATGTAAGTAAGTATGTAAGTATGTCAGTATGTAAGTATGCAAGTATGTAAGTATGTAGGTATGTATGTAAGTATGTAGGTATGTAAGTATGTAAGTATGTAGGTATGTAAGTATGTAAGTATGTAAGTATGTAAGTATGTAAGTATGTAAGTATGTAAGTAAGTAAGTATGTAAGTATGTAAGTAAGTATGTAAGTATGTAAGTAAGTATGTAAGTATGTAAGTATGTAAGTATGTATGTATGCAAATACGTATGTATGTATGTAAGTATGTAAGTATGTAAGTATGTAAGTATATAAGTATGTATGTAAGTATGTATGTATTAATGCATGTATGTATGTATGTATGTATGTATGTATGTATGTATGTATGTACGCATGTATGCATGTATGTTTGTATGTATGTATGTATATCTGTGTGTAGGTATGTATGCATGTATGTAAGTATGTAAGTATGTAAGTAAGTATGTAAGTATGTAAGTATGTAAGTATGTAAGTATGTAAGTATGTAAGTAAGTATGTATGTAAGTATGTAAGTATGTACGTATGTACGTATGTAAGTATGTAAGTATGTAAGTAAGTATGTAAGTATGTATGTATGTATGTAAGTATGTATGTATGTATGCATGTATGCATGTAAGTATGTAAGTATGTAAGTATGTAAGTATGTAAGTAAGTATGTAAGTATGTAAGTATGTAAGTATGTAAGTATGTAAGTATGTAAGTAAGTATGTATGTAAGTATGTAAGTATGTAAGTATGTACGTATGTAAGTATGTAAGTATGTAAGTAAGTATGTAAGTATGTATGTATGTATGTATGTAAGTATGTATGTATGCATGTGTGTATGTATGTATGTATGTATGTATGTATGTATGTATGTATGTATGTATGTATGTATGTATGTATGTATGTATGTATGTATGTACGCATGTATGCATGTATGTTTGTATGTATGTATGTATGTATGTATGTATGTATGTATGTATGTATGTATGTATGTATGTATGTATGTATGTATATTTGTATGTATGCATATATGTATGTATGTATGTATGTATGCATGTATGTAAGTATGTAAGTATGTAAGTAAGTATGTAAGTATGTAAGTATTTAAGTATGTAAGTATGTAAGTAAGTATGTATGTAAGTATGTAAGTATGTAAGTATGTAAGTATGTATGTATGTATGCATGTATGCATGTATGTATGTATGTATATTTGTATGTATGCATATATCTATGTATGTATGCATGTATGTGTGTTCGTGTATGTGTGCATGTGTGTGTACTTGTGTGCTGTGTGAGAGTATGCGTGCGTTCGTGCGTGCGTGCCTGCCTGCCTCGCTGCGTGCATGTGCGTGCGTGCGTCCGTGCGTGCCTGCCTGCATGCCTCCCTGTCTGCCCGCCTGCGTGCGCACGTGCGGGCGTGCGCGCGGAGGTGGGCGTGCAGGCAGGCAAGCATGTGGGTAGCTTTGTATGTATGGCTGTGTGTGTGTGTCTCTCTCTCTTTCTCGGTCCAGCCATTGATTGTCCCCTACTTGAGGTCTTTGGAAACGTGTATACCTTTTTAGTGGACCTTTCGTGCAAGGAAGCAAGGCTTTTTTGGAGGCGGGCCCCTTCTGTTTGAACCCGTCGGAACACCAAGCTGCAGCCGAGGATGAAAGGTAGATGAGCCCAAGGCGATAGGTTCCGGATGTGGCCATGTTTTCTTCAGGGAACCATGTACATGTCCAATGGGCGTGTTCCCAATTAAAATTCACACCAATATGCGCCATGATCAAAACTTCTCATGGCGGCCATGGTCAAAACGGTGCGCTAATGAATCCTCAACGTTGTCTGACATCCCAAAAAACATGAGGCCCATACCAACCCGCAATTTTGACCACGGCAAACATATCCGAAGCCATCACCAATGGGTAGGTGATGTGTTTAACATGGCAAAGTAGGGAAACGTACACACATAATCATATATAGGTATAGGTATTGTAAACATATAAAAAACATATTTATAGGTACCCTTTATTGATTGCTAAGGAAATCAGGGTGGGGCGAAACTGGTTTCAACCATCAGACCCTGGTACTAGCGGAAGCAAGCAAATGCTGTTCAAACAATGGGTGGTTCAATATGTTCAAAATTTATACGGGAGCAAACATGACAAACACCGGATAGGGACACCCCTGATGGATTGTTGGGGACATGTTGCTTTCAAGAGGCAATCGGTCGACATTACTCTCTGCCACTGAACATCAGCACACCACACACACAGCAACACAATGCAACACAACCCTCACCACACGCACACACACACACACACCAACCAAACCTCCACAGCATACCATACGACACCGCACCGCACCGCACCACCACCTCATCCGCAGCTTGCATCATCCAGGCTCTGAGTCATTCCCGGGAGCGACGCAGCACCGTCTGTGACGGTGCGCTTCAGCAGGAAGGGACTGGCTTCAGGTTGCTGCTGGCTTGCAGCATGTCCAGGAATTTTAGCGCTCCCCAACCCACACCACCATCGAGCTTTCCCTGGAAAGAGGAAGGTGTCTCTGAAGCACTGTGTCCACCGAGGCTTTTGCCAACCGTGCTCTGCAAGAGGTCGGCAGCAGTGCCAAAATGTGGAGGTGTCGCGGCAGCGACTGGCCTTCTCTTCAGCTTGCTCGGCGCAATACACCAAACACGCCGACACAACGGCGACGCCATTAGTGCGAAAAGATACTGGAGGGAAACCCGGCCTTTCCGGAAACAGCGGAAAACAAGCCCATCCGAAGCGTGAGAGCTCAAACAGCCAACTTTTAGGCAAAAAAAAACCAAAGGCCTATTTCAAAAGACAACACCCAGCACCTGCCCTATAACCATGAAACAGCAATTCGTTGATCCTTCCAACAAACTAAAAGGCTTCTTGTGTTAGTTCCAAATGGAAATGGCTTCGGTTTTCCCTTTGGTTTCCATTTAGAACCAACCCAAAGAGGGTACCCGCCAAAAAAAAACGACACACCCAATGTCTTCCAGGCCGTTGTGCGAATTCGACGAACTCGCCCGTCCTGAGGTCCAAGTCAAGCTCTGCCTTGCGAAGCCCATCGATCTTAGGGACTCCACTCCCAAAAAATCAGCTTTGCACTAGTTGGTTGAGATTGGTGCTTTCCCATTTACCCTCTAAGAACGGGTTCAAATCCACCAGCTCAGGGTTACCTGCCAAAAGGACCGTTTCCTGTGGACAAAGTGAACAGCTTTAAAAGTACAAGTGAGTGTCTGTGTGTGTGTGTGTGTGTCTGTGTTGTTGTTCTTTTTTAATGGCTCCCCTATTTGGAGTGTGGGATCCCTTCAAGCAACACTGGATGGGTTACAAACCCTCGGCGATGCACCAGTTGGGATGGATGAAACCCGATTTGAGCACTACAAAAGATGGCATTTTGGAGTGGGGATTTTGTGTGGCTTGAGGGGTGCTTATGTGTGTGTGTGTGTGTTTAGTAGCGGCAAATAGCCATGGTTGCCTCATGCATAGGAGGAGTGTAAAATTGGCCAAACAAGCCTTAGGAATGGTTGTCCCCAGATAGCCCGTGGAAAGTGACACGGAGCCAAACAACGGGCCCTAACACCAGATTTGTCTCGTGAGGTCTTTGCGGGTTCTGTTAACTCACTTGCTGGGGATTGATGGGGTTTCTCGCCATAGACCACGGGGTTGTGAAGTTTCAGCACTCGTGGTCTGTTCAGGGCAAACTCGCCATAGAATATCATGTATCTTTGCTGCAAACGTGTTTGCGCATTAGGCTTCAAACTGGATCATGTTATGAGTTGCATCAGCTCACCAATGGTGCCTAGCGTGCTGCCAATGCGCTCAACCAAGTTTTCAAGATTCTCTAGAGTTGGACGCTTATCACTTACAGCAACCCAACACAAGTTTGCCTGCCAGTGCAAATCTGCTGCACTTGCCCAATTGACCGGTCAAGACCGCGGGGGGCATGGTCCACCGTCAGCCTGGGAACGATCCGCCAACCTGGCTATCCTGAGTGCTTCGGCCCAAGCCGAAACTTGCTGTTGCCACTCCCACTGGACAAATCATTACAATTCACCCACTGAAAATCGGGGATCCCTATGAAAGAAGCTTTCATTGGTGACAACACATGTCATGACGTCGCTTGCATTTGCCCAGAATCATAGGCTGAATGCATGCGTCCATATATGATACCCTGGTATGAACCCTTGGCATGCTGCCCGGGTATGACACCTTGGTTTATTGGTTGAAGAATTCTTTCGTTTCGGCTGAACTGGCTGGAGAATGGAAACCTCCTATTTGCGTTGTTGCTCGTGGCAAAGTAGAAAGCACCTGCTCATTTGCGATCCGTCCCCAAAAGCCAGCCAACTAACTATGCCCAACACACAATACCATTTTTCCTCAGGGTATGATGTCAACCCTTCACTGAAAAGGTATGTACCTTGGAAAATCGGGTTTTCCAATCAATATGGCCATGGGTCAAAATCCCGTACCCCCAGTCAACATCCCAATCCCCGTTAAAATAGGTTCTAAAATGGATGGTGCACCTACCCCAAAATGGGCTCCCATTGGTTTTGACCCACACAGCCATACCTAAAAAACGGGTATTTGGAGCAGGAAGTATTGGAACCCACCCGCGCCTGGGCAAGGCTGCGGAGATTGTCAGGCACCTGCGCGGCTTCTCCCTCGCTGGGTATCTCTCTAGGACCGCAAAGGGTTTCCGGTTGACGTCCCTTTACAACCAACATTTTGTCTCTATCAGCTCAAGATCAAAAAGCGGCACGGAGGCAATATCAAAAACTAAAGGAGTCGACCCACCAGCCAAAGAATCAAAAGGGCCGCCGCCCCTTTTTGTTGGTTGAGATCGAGCCGTACTAACCTTCCTCTAGGGGGGGGGGATTGTGACTTACAGTACAACAAAACGACACACCAGCCCCAACGACTGCTTGTTCCCATGTTCGAAAGCCCAAGTAGTGTCCAAAATGCTGCGGGAAAGCAGCCCGTGCAGGGTGCCGGATGAGTGCGGTGCTTTGTTCAGGGACCCCTCCAATGTCCGTGGTTGATGTTCAAAACACAACCAGCAACCGAAAGGGACACCAATCATCTTTGTAGATGGAAAGCGGGCCCCCTTTTTTTTGTTTTGGGGGGGGGGTACACTTCCTGTTGGCGGGGCCCGTATGTTGTAAAGTGTTCAACCAAAACGGGACCCCTTGTCCATATTTCCCGCTTAAACAGCCCCCCCCCGCTAGGATCATCTCAACTTGGCAATGAACAGGTGGTGCTTAACACACCCTGTTTCACATGAAGCACCGACCCTCACAGATCATCTTGGTGGCTTACATCACGTGGGGTCTATTGAGCAAACGAACGATAAACATACCCTAGAATGCAAGCTCGCTTTGGGACCATCCCCAAACCTGTGTTGGGGGCTTTAACAACCCTCGCCGGTCTATCAAACGCGTCTTCAGGATTCGCAATAGCTCCAACACCCGGAAACAGAGTTGGCACCTTGGGCCAACATGTCACCCCTCGAGTCACCAAACCGGTTCGAACCCCGCCTCGGTAGCGCCCACCTTTCAATCGGAAGTCTGATGTGCAACCTCCAAATACCCAGCTTGTCTGTGGGTATGTTTTGTCAACCCCTGACTGAAAAGGAGGCATTTAGCATGGGAAACCTGGTAACTGAGCTTCTCCACATCCTTGACAAAGGTGACAATTATGGTTTGGCATATCTTTATTTTGGGACATGCACAGATTCAATCAGTAAATTGTGAGTAGGGGGTCCTCCCGTGGGCCACGGTTCCCTTAGGAACCTGTGCATCGCGCGAGTCCTTGTTCATAGCTGACCCATTCTTTGCATTGGCAAGGGCAGTGCGTGTACAAGAGGCCGGGGCAGGAACTGCACTTGTCCAAAGGACCTCGAATTAAAACGTTAATCTTTCGAGACCTTGACTACATATGGACCAAAATTGGAAAATGAAAGGCTCAAAGGTTGGCTTTGGGCAACTGAGCTTACATGCATTGGTTGTCTGAAACACCTAAGGGGTTGATGAGCATCACCAACCTTGTGAACGAACCGTTGCGTGACCATGGCACATGTCTTTTCATCCTGGAATCCCTTGGGGAAGCACGGCCAAGCTACGAATGGAAGGAATGGCCGAACCCAATCAAGGACCCCACCCCGCATGTCAATCTTGCCCCTGCTGGCAACATTGTGGAAACCATCTGCCACGACTTCTTCTCCGATCAGCTGCAAAGCCATCCCATGACTCGGTTACACCATTGGCGTGCTCTTGGAACAGGTGTTGCCAGATCGGGGGGAAACAAAAAATTCGGGGGTCCAAGGGAACAGCCTGGAAAGACACAGGTCCCGTGTTTTGGGTTGGTACCCCGAATTCATGGTTGGGGCACTGAACGCCATCTGGGGGGCACAAAGCCATCAACTTGACATGGAAGAGACTTGGGAATCCCAGGATCGGTCGACCGAATGTGCGCAAAGGGGGGTCAGCCAAAAGAGTCCGAAAAGTGTCATTTTCCACTAAATTTGACTTGAAAAAGACCCTGTCTGGGAAAACGAGAAACACACCCACACACACACACCTCTTCTGAACATGACTTCACTAAAGTGCCCCACACCCCCATTCTAATTGTGTAGGCCCTTACGTTGCACCACTGAGCATGGAATCTGAAAGGCCAGCCTTAAGAACGGAATCGCCTTCCTTTTCTGGATGGGACCCCCTTTTTGGATACCCAAATGCCTGAAAAAGTGGTTATTTGAAGTAGGGGGCAGAATACGGGATACGATTTGTCTTCGACGAGTAGAATGAATGGCCAGCTTGCTACATCACAATGAGACGTGCAAAAAAAGAACCTTAAAACCATCCAAGGAAACTTGTACCCTCTACATGGGTATGGGCCATTGATATGGGCCTGTTTATCGTTTCTGTGAGGATGCCGCTTTTTTGGCGGCTTCAAAGGGAAACCCAAAGGAGCAACCGAGCAAACACCGTTCTGGGGGGGTCCAACCTGGAAAAGATGTGGACCGTGTAAAGCCCCCGGCCTGCGCCAGGCTGCACTGCAGAGCCTCGAGAAGCAAAAGCGTCGTTGAGGCGTCGAAGTACCGAACAAAAAATGTCCCTTTGGTTTTACCCTCCCAAAAAAACAAGGGTAGGACCTGCACAGGAAACTGGTCATCCAGGAACCCCTGAGTTCCATGTTTGTTTTTGGGAGGGTATCTTTTGGGGGGTTCTCAAAATAGGGGTGAGAAATGGGTGGCGTCCTCTTGGTGTCTTCAAACACAGGGGTTCACCAGTTTGAGCAACCTTTTCAGAAACCTCGAAATAGACAGGGTATTCAGGAAGTGGCTTGTACCCACACGGAAAGGGATTTACAACCACGTGAGATGGGTAAAAAAAACATGACGATTAGAAACAACCAGCCGAGTACCCTGCCCCTTGAAGTACCCTCAGCCAAAAAGAAACACAGTCTTACTGGTAAACAAGTAGAAACCAATTCAATTAGTGGAATCCACCATATCATATAATTAACCAAGTTGAGAAAAACGACGCTTAGCAGAGCCCTCGAATTGCCCACTTGTTTAAGGTATGTTCGAAACCAGGTTCTTGATTGAATACCTCAGTGGTCGGGGGATGACATCATGAATCGAGGGTCTGGACCCCCATCCCCGAACCTTATGCCTTCTTAAGGAAACGGGAAAATTGAGAGGGCACGATTGGTTTTTGGAAAGCACGGTGCCCAACTTTACTGAGAGGCATATACCTCATGTTTGGGCACCAGGTTTTTGCCAGGGTCACATTGCCTTCTCAATTTTTGAGAAGGCACGCTTTTCTGGGGGAGCCCGCAAAATCCAGAGGACGTGCATCCAGGGTTCCGATTAAAAAATGCGGTCTGAGGGACTAAGTGGGGAAGCGTTCCTGACTGTCCAAGGGGTCAAAAGGATGGTGTTGGTCGTCAAAGAAAAGAGCAACCAAGATTAGAATGAACTTGGGGATTAGAAGGGCAAACCAAGCTGCAACTCTGTGTTCGCCAACTTTGGGCTTGCCCATGTGAGCCTTAGACACGATTAAATTTGACCCAACACGGACATCGGCATTTGGGTCGTCCCCGCTTCTCGTCCTCCCCAAATCAAGAGTAGACTCCGAAACATCTTGGCATCCTTGTGACCTACTCATGTCATACTTTGCATTTGTGAAAGTGTTTACTATGAACAATCTGACTTTTGACCATCTTGAAGAGCTGCGTTTTGTTGGCCAATGGTTGCCGAAAAAACACTGGCTACAGGCAGGCTCGCGGGCGCGCGGGCGCGCGGGCTCGAGCGCGCCTGCAGGTGCTGCTTGGCCAAGAGCAAGTCCTGTCGCTTTTTGTGATGGAGAGAAGCCTCGTTTTTTATTCGTCATAGACCGGTGTTGAAACTTTTTGGGCGTAGCCAACAAAAGTTCACAAAGCTTGCCAGCTCTGCAGGTGAGAAATCCCCTACTGGGGTCTCCAAAGAGAGGCCAATGCCCTGAGTGGTGGTAATTTACACGTAAAACACGTGTTTTTTGTAAGGGGAAATAAGCAACTTTTTGGGCACGCATAGAGTGAAAAATCAAACACTCGAGAAAACGGGGGAGAAAAAAAAAAAAAGCCCCAGACAAAAGGTCCTGGCCCCAAGTCCGACACTTGCCTTGGCAAATGTAGGAGCTGAGTCTATGACCCTTTGTCTGAGGCTTTGATTATTTTGGTTGTCTTGAAGTCTGTTGGAGTTTTACGATCCCTGGTGCCGCGCTTTCATCTCCGCAGACATTGCGCCAAAAGGCTGGTTCTGGTTGATGCAGCAAATATGCTACAGCAAATATATTGGAACTATTCCCTGGCTAAGTTCTATTCATGGACAGGATGCCTTACATGGAGTTAACTGAAGGTAGAAGTCTAATGGAAGCACGAACACCACGACCCGCAAAAGGCCTGCCTCTGACCAGAAGACCTCCAAGCGCCCTACCACGGCCTACGGAAAACTAAGGGTAGCCACACTGTCTCTAGTGTGTGAATATAACACGGGAAGACACTCTCGCTAAACATCTGGTGTCTGGAAAAGGCCGTTGCTATAGAGAGAGAGAGAGACTTCAATTTCCTGGAGACTATGTACTGGCTAAGGACTCCTGAACATTTCCCTTAGGACTTTGTTGTTTTTTCCTTCGAGGTTCTTTGGTTTTTGCCCAGAAAACCAAAAGGCGTCGAGTTTTTTTTGGGGGGTTTGGAGATATCAAAAACCACAAAACTCGAGGCTTTTTGGTTTTCTGTGCAAAAACCAATCTCCTGGAGACTATGTACTGGCTGAGGACTCCTGAACACTTCCCTCAGGACTTTGGTTTGTTTATTTGTTTTTTGGGTTTTCTTCAAGGGTTTTTGTGTTGGTCCAAGGACTCCTGAACATTTCCCTGAGGACTTTTGTTGTGTTCTTCGAGTTTTTTGTTTTCTTTTGCCTTTATCTCTGTGAGCAGGACTCACCCAAAAACCCACCACTCACAGCATTGGTGTCTGTTTCCAAACAGGCGGTCCCCTGACGAAAACAGGATGTTGGGGATGGATGCCATCTACGCTTGCTGTTGGGGCTTTGATTCAGAACGTCACCTCTCACCCTTCTGCCTTGCAGTAGCCGGTCATGATTCGAAACCTCGGCAACAAGCGTAGATCACGCGAGCGGCTCAAAAATGTCGGCACGAAAACAAACCCACGAGCAAATATGCCCGATTTGGCCAGCTGACCAAACAATATCTTAAAGGCGCCCAAAAGGTTTGGCCAAGAGACGCCTCTGTATAACTGTTTGGCACCTAGAAGACAACCCTGTCCGGCCCATGCCAAACATACCCAAACATAATATGAAATTGCCAAAGCTATTGCTAGTACTTTTGCCAATGCTAGCTCCTTTCATGATCTCCCGGATGTTGACCAAAACCCATGCATACTCAACACCTGGTCAAAAGTATTTCTAAGACCGCTGGTGAAGAATACCACAGCAAAGGCTGAATGTATAAGCCCACGTAAAAACATTGGGTATCTGGCTGGTGCATGAATGGAAGCCTCCGTTTTGCTCGGTTGCGATCCGTTGGTATGTGGGTAAATGGACATCCCCTTGTCCTCCCAAAAAACCAGCCAGGTATGAATCCGCTTCTTTTTGTTGGTGAATTGACTGTCTGCGGTTTCAGCTTCATTCTGGCTTCAACTGGGTGCAACAAGGCCATGTGTGCAGATACGGGCGCATACGATCAGCCTTAGATCAAGATGTTCATGGCAACTACCTGTAAACTTCAGCTAGGCAGGTTTGCCCGAATCAAGAAATCCACACGGAACCTTCATCAAGGCACCTGAGCTGGTTTTACAACAAGGTGAACTCACAATTGAACACAAACACAAACGTCAACATTGCCCACTGCATCTTGAGCCCTCCAGGTGTCCTCTAATGGAGGGTCCTTGCTGCTGGGTGCAAAACAAGAATCCAAAGTGAGGATACGGTTTGTAAGCGGATGACACTTGGCGGAAAACAAAAGCGCAAGGCACCCAAACCCCAAAGCTCCAACGGAGTTTCATGGGGTCGGTTCTTGCCAAAGCACGGGCCCAGCTTGGCGGAGGCGCGGTACAGGAGCTTGCCCTGCGTCAACAACTGGCCAGTTGCCAAAGCCAAACCGGCTCAGATCTCTCGGCGGGCAAATGGGCAACCATCCCCGAGCCTCCAAACCACCAATCCAAGCCGCCAACTAGAAGGAAATTGGTTCCATTGACCCAATCAAGAGAAGCCCGGTTGCGGGACCGGCACCATGGGCTTTCGCTCGCTCTCCCCCTGGAATCGGTGCTCCTTCCAATTTACCCTCTTCATGCCCTATTTGGAGACACTCGTGAGTAGGGTGACAGTAAAGGGTGCGTGGGAGGGCACCCGGGAAGACTCCATTGCCGTGCCTGGCGGGAGAAGGTCTCGATGCCATGCACGCCAGAGCGGGACCTCCCATCGTACCAAGGCGGGAAAGTGGTGGGAATCCCCTTCTGATTCCGAAGTAGGCCGTTCCCTGCGCGCGAATATCAGCGTGCCCCAAAGCCCGGCCTGCCGGTTCCATGTGATCTACTGTTGGGAACATGCGGGTTGTCCCTCGATTCATTTCTTGCGGAAAACCATGGGGCGAGGGCTCCGGCTCCAAGGACGGGTTCGGCACAACCAAATGGGTGGTTTGGATTGGTGGTTTGGTAGGAGGGGTTTCCCATTGACCCTCTAGAACCAGGGGCTCAAATCCCCAAACCAGCAATTCAAACCACCAAAGTACAAATCCGTTTAGGATCCCTGCACAAACACCCAATCCAAGAGGGTTACCTGAAATATCCTCTTGGGAAAAACGGACACTAAAACCCGAGCAAACCAAACACCTTTAGACTGAACAACTTTTAAGTGCGCGTGCCTATAACTACGTTCTTGAGAGTTCAACCCCTGGATGATGTCCACAAAGAGTCCAAGCAAGTAGCATTCATATCCAAATTGGCAAATTCCTTGCGGTTGAATGGATTGAATCAACACACACACACACACACACACGCACACACCCATCGACCACTCAGTTGCGACTAGCTCTTTTTGAAACGACAGGGAATGGCAATAAACAAAAATGCATCGGAGCACCGAGTCCAACCAATTCAAAATCAATCACAATTCTGCAAAGGAGCAATTTGTAGCTGCAAACAAGTTACTTTCACATGGTCATGTTTTGTTGTGTCCCCAACTGACAACGGAGCTTTTGGTGGTCTCTACGTACAGAAAAGGATCAGACAAGTTTAAATAGACTCCTTTCAAGGTTGGTTGGTGGTTCAAAGTCCCCATTCAAGGAAGGTTGTTTGGCAATCAAGCCTCAGAGGGTTTTTGAATAAACTCATTCGTTGTCTGTGCGATCCGACCACTTCAGCATACTTCAGCAAAGGGAAGATGACGTTTGGAGAACCATCGGCGCGTCCCCATTCAAGGAAGGCGGTTGGGGAATCATAACCATTGTAAGCCCCTCTGATTGAACCCATTCGCAGTCGTTTGGGTCCAGCCCAGGCTTCCAGGAAATCTGTTCCGCTAGGCAGTTCATGCCCATGACTACTTCTTTTGCGGATATCACGGAACGTGGCAACCCAAGAGCCAACTTTCCATGCCAATGCAAAATGAAAGTCGCAAGGTTGGGTGCCCTGTTTCCATCCAGCCTCCTTTCCAACTATTCCTGGAACCAACTTTGGGGTTTCTTGATTCCATTTGGGGAGTGAAGAGATCCCCCCCCCCAAAAAAAAAAGAAGAAGGGGAAAAAACAAAAAACAAACAAGAAATCAAAAAAAAAAAGCAAAACACCAAAAAACATGGAAGCGGCCACGGCATCCGGGCCTGGGGTGCACGAACCCGGACCTCGGTGCCAGAAAGACGGGCGAGTTGTTCAGCAGTTGGAAGAACTTCAAATGGGCGGCTCGTCTTTTTGTTTTGGGTTGGACCCCCCCAAAAAAATGGGTGGATTTCCTTTTGGTGGCCCTTTAAAACCACAGAAAGGGGGTACCAAGCCACGGAAGTTGTTTGCCAAAAGAGCAAGGTTGAATTCCAAACAGTTCAGCTACACGCATTGTTCTTTGGAGTCGGCACCTTTTTCGGGAGCTGTTTAGACCATGGGAACCGCCCACTCCCTGCTTTTTGTAGGTTCCATGTGATTCCCCCCACCCCTAGGCAGCATGGGGTTTCCGTCCCAAAGCACAGGGCGTTCCCCTGGTAAAGGAACAGGGGCACCACAAAAAAAAGTGGAAGTTCTTGAGCTCAAAGAAGGGAGGCAAAAGAAAGGTGTGTTTGTTTCCCTTTACAAGGGTCAAACCCCACCCCCACCCCCCAAAAAATAAACATGCTCCCCCCAACAGATAAAGTCAACACCTATGGGTTCACACTAAATTGGCCAAACAGGGGCCCTTTTGCTAACAAAAGGAAGCAATGTTGCGCCCAAATCCCAACGGGAGATTTCGAACATTGCTCACCTGAACAACATCAAAGGAAGCCGCTACTACTTTGGGGCATGATCAAATCCCATGGGGTGTGGCTTGGATTCGGATTTGACCCTCCCGGTTCAAGAAGCGGGTAAATGGGAAACCACTTCAACCACCAGGTTTACTGTCGAAAGCTGTTTCCCGAAGGCAGAGTTTGGCAGAGTCTTCGATGGATCCGATGCGTCATGTTACGTGCCATCCTGAAAGGCTTGTTGGCTGGTCTGGTTGCCTGGCTTCTTGGCTGTGTGGCTGCTTGCCTTGCTGGTTGGCGGGGCTCCTTGCGTCTCTTCTCCGGTCAGAGATAAGGCCGTCGCCTTCGCACCGCACTGGGCTTGCCAGACCTGCGAGTGGATTGGCCAACCAAAACTCTAAACCTGCTGTCTACGTCTACAATGGACCTCCCCAAAAGCCCTTAGAAACGTTGTGTTTTGCGAAAACATCTGCCATATGTCCAACACCTGGAATAAGAATTGGATTCCCAAGCCAAAGACCTTCATGACTAATCACTTGTTTTTTCTCCCGAATCGGCGAGCTCGAAACACATAACACGGACCATTGCCAAAAGGGAAGGCGAATGAACGTACAGCTTCAAGATTGAAAAGAGTAACCACTATTTGTTGAAGTACTCCTTCAATAGGACTGTTTTCCAACGCTTCCTTGGTTCGAGCACCTGATGGGAATGGGGTTCACTCCAGCGAAAGGAAAAGACCCAGGGTTGGTTGGAAAAAACTTAAGGCAAACCACAACAAAAACAAATGCTTGCACAATAGTGGTTCAAACCATGATTGAAACAAAGGGGTTGAATCGATAAACATGGTTGCCCTTGGTTGATTCGTTGATGACCATCCCAGCGTGTTCGAACAGAGCTCCTTTCTTTCTGACATTGTGGCAAATGGTTTCGTGGTTGTTCCTATAAGAATAGAATGTCACTAAGAAATTCCCACTTGGCCGCTAGGGGGCAAACTGAAACCCAATGTTCCACAACCTCATTCTTCCAACGGCACAAATCAAGTTAATGGGGAACTCCACAGCCTGGCAAATCCTTCCCCGAACCACCAACCCTCGCAAGCACCACAAATGGTGCAGATGATATTTGCAAGCAGTTGATTCCGAATTCCCACGATGCAGTCATGTTAAAGCTTTCCCCAACCATGTGTTTTGGGTCTTTGACCGTAGTAGAAGGGATGGCAAAATGGCCAGCCCTTTTTGTTAGGTGTCCTCTTAACTCCCTTCAACTGCCATTGGGCCCAACGAGACATCTACTCTTAAGCATGCTCACTCACGCAAAGGAAACTCCCCGAATGAGTTTCCCTTTCCAACTAAGTGATGTTTAAAGCCACCCTATGGGGAAACAACAGGAACTTGTTGAAACCAGGACCTTCAAAAGCAAATGCACAATTTCTTCAAGCAACTGACTGTCTTCAGGAGCCATTAGTGTCAAATAGTTGAGCAACTGGAAATGGTCACGCGTGACATTCATCGGTGGCACACGGGACTGCCCGTTCAGAGCCACGTAGCCAATGGAACAGCCTTTATGACCCAATAACTGTTGGGGTCCCCCGATTTTGAAGATACAGCAATATGGCCATGAATTTAAACTAGGAACCCGAACTGGTGGACATCATTTAGGTTGGGAGTGATGTCCACCGACCACTTTTGAGGTAACTCCAACTCTTAAAATTAATTCCATGTAAAGGGGTCATTTTTGAAGGTACCCTGTTTGGGATTGGCTTAAAGGAAAACCACCATTTTCGTTTGGGTGGAGTCCCCTGAAAAAGACATACCCATATGTTTGCCGCGAACAAGCCGACCTTCTCACTCAAGCCCAATTCGTCGCTGTCTCTCTGGCCTCCGCAGCTTTCCACGGACCTGCCGACAAGAATGTTCGTCTGGCGCTGGCGCGGGTGTTGCACTCCTCATGACACGATTGGACCTGCCCTGCAGCCTGCGCTGCCCACATTTCCCAGATGATTATTTTCAAACCACAAATCAAGAAACCAACTCTTGCTCCAAATGCCAACATTTTCTAATGGTATAATGTCGGAGATTTATTTTGGCAAACCTGGCGGATTGAAATATACCTCTAAAGAAACGGTTTATGAACTACATAAATTCCTTACTTCAAGCTAGGCAGTCTGGCCTGGTATGCTGTTGCGGACCGGGGCCCCTTCCATACATGATTTCTTGAACCAAAGGGAAAAACAAATATGGGGAAGCATTTCTCAAACAACGTCTCAGCTTTCAACAACAGTCAAAGGAAGCTGCCCAAACCATGGCAAAGAACCACATAAACAGACTTCTGGGGCTTGTTGCTGTGCCTATTCGTGCTTGGAACTGCTCCCCTACCTTCTACGGTGTTGATTGCTTACCGTAACCCCTGCCAAGCTTTGGGGTCATACCACCAAATAGTGCCAAAGGCCAAGGCGGGAGAATGCCAAGGAACGGCCTTCGCCCGCAGGAAAAGGTTGGGACTTCGGGTGCGGGTCTCTGTTTCGGCCATTGCGGTTTCACCAACCAAAGGCCCAAACTTTGCAAAGGGAGGTGTGTCTCGTGGGTGGGTCAACATCTCCCAGCAAGGGGCCCACAATGGACCCCAATACACCTCAACAGGCACTACTATGCCCTACTCACAAAAGTTCAAGGTGCACCACTTGGGATGGATGAACCACGATTTGAATACTGGTCGATAAACTACCCAACTGGTCAACTGGTGCGACATGGATATGACAACATCCACAGTATGCTTGCCACGGGCTCCCCAAAAAGGCGCCCCTATCCCGCATTCCAACAGGGGTTAGCGCCTCACAGTGCCCAGTGCAGATTGAGCCTGACTCTTAAATACCAACTTGTTTTTAGGATATGATGTCAACCCCTGTCTGAAAAAGCGTTATTTGCCTCAAACATCCAGTTTGGCAAACTATACCCAAGCAACACGGACAATCTCAGAACTGCTGGCAGGTGTCGAGAAACTCTGTTGAACCTTCAACGAACGCATCCTGCAGATGCAAAGTGATCCAAGGAAAACGCTAACTACTCCTTAAGTGGTGGATCCATCCGCAGGATTCGATTCCTTAGGGGGAGTTCGCAACATTTCTCAAGCGAACCTTTCGCTCGACGGGAAAAGTGAGGTTATGCTTGATGTTCCTTGGACCCACATTCTGGGAACATGTAACCCATACTCAAGTACACAATTGTTTGTGCGTGTACATATATACTTATACATACATATACATATATATATATACATACACATACATATTCAAAACCATGGTTTCCATGGTAAATACTCCCGTTTTTAGTCACAAAGCCCTGGTTGGTTTTGATTGAAGAATCCCCCATTCAAAGGTCACATTCGGGGAGCGCTACACACACAAAGCAAATGTCCGCCAGGTTGATCAATCCTGGTTCATTTCCGGGGAGGTGCCAAGTTGATGCTTATGAGAAATACACTCCTGCAGATTGAGATGGACGTACCAACGCGAAAGGGAATGTGTAAGACAGTCGCAGTATGTTGACAGGACAAAACATCTCACCTACCAACGACTCATGACATTTCTGAGTTCAAGAGTAGGAGGAGAAGACTAACAATAGCTCGGTTGCTTTCTGCTCCCCTGCTAAAAGTTTAACTTCTAGTGGTTTAATACGGAAAACCCATTAGTTGGCAACAGGTTAAAGTCCTAACCTCCCTTGGCAACATCCAAGAATCTAATCATCGGATTGCTCACTCCTTGCTTCGCCCGGACAAAGAACATGAAAAGACACAAAACGGCGGCCTCGGGGTGGGCCAGGATCCACTGCTCCAGCGCCTTGCGCTGCGCCTCGGAGAACTGAAGCCTCGGCGTCTCGGAGCGAGCCGCGGCTCGCGAGAGGAGTGGTTCTTTCCGTCGGGAAGGAGTTGGCGAATTTTTCGAAATAGACTGAAATGGGTGGTGAATTCACCTACCCCGAAATGGGATCCCATTGGTTTTGACAACCACAGCCATTTGGCGGTGGGTCAAAAAATTAAGCCACCAGGATGTGGACCGGAGGTTTTAGTCTTTTCCATTTACCAGGGCACCCATTTTGGGGATTCTTATTTTTGACCCACACCCATTTGTCAAATTGTTCGGAGACTCCGAAGCGTCGATGTCAACTGACTAAAAAGATGAAGGGCATATTTATCATGGAAGGCTGGTCAATATCCGTAAAATAACAGACGGGGATTTGGCGTGGGCATGCCTTTGATATTCGAAAATGTGAAACTTTCTTCTCGATTTATCCTTACTCTCCCCGGGGCTCGTTCCCCGGGAACAGTGTTCGGCTAGGACAGTGTTCGGGAAACTTGGGTGAGTCTCCCCTGTCCCTTCCAAATGGATCATAGACTATTAGTCAGTTTGACTGAACATCTGCGTGTGCTCCAAAATTAGGGACTCCATGCTAAACAAGTGGCTTCCCTTCAACTTCAAAGGAGGCCTCTCAGCTTCAAAATACGTACAAGTCTTCTTGGCGTCTCTTCAAAATACTGTGGCCCTAAGGGTCCCGATTGCTTTTGGTTGTTTTCAAGGGCCCATGAGGGGTCAGTGTTCTCCAATGGAGTGCCCGGGGGTGTCATGACCCTTCAGGGCATGGACAACATCCGCTTCGCACCATTTGGGAAAAAGAAAAACCTAACTGGTGCGAAGTTCAGAGAACTCCCCAGATGACCCACTGGCCCGTCCCCGCTGATTTTGTAGCTGGCGAGTTGGGCTGCCCCCTCTTCTCGTCCCTAAAGCAACAGTACACCACGAGACATCTTGTCCACTTGCTCTTGGTTCTTAGGCACTGGTTCAGGTATCTATTCTGGGAAACCTGGTGTTTAACAATATACCATTCGGAAGGGGGGCGTTTTTGTTCAAAAGGTTTCATGGATCGGGTTGTCAGTTGCTCAGTGCCATGGTCAAAGCTCCTGTAAGCCACGGCAATGGGTTCCCTTGATAGGACTCCGTACCACGTTTGTCCAAAACCCAATTTGAAGGGAACCACTCGTAACAGGAATGCTTTGACCATAGCACATACTTTTAAGGATATAGTGTCAACCCCTAGCTGCAAAAGGAGTATGTACTGCGGAAAATCCAGTTCTTCAAATAATGGAGCGGGGGAGGGGGGGCTCCGAGCAATTGACTCAAATTGAAGGTCGAGGGGTAGGGTTCCAAAATATATGGGCGCGCCATTGTTGAGGGTATATGCCTTGTTTTTTGAATCCAACAGTAAGCCAACCATCTGTTTCTGTGGGGAGATCTACAAGAACCCACATACCAAACAAAAGCAATGTCGATCCCCGTGTCAACCTCTAAGTCGTTAATCATCAGTCTGTGTACATTACTACATTGTTATTCCATACTATGTAACAAAATTCAATATTAACCATGGGTCAACACTTGGGTGTGGGTCAAACATAGGTACACAAAATGGGTTGCCCTGGTAAATGGAACCAAACACTCAAGCCGGCGTTACTTTTTTTTTGTGGTTTCTCATTTTGACCTTAAAGCCACTTGGAGTTGACACGCGGCTTCGTCGGCCAAGCCGCAGCAGCTGGCGCCTCTGCGCGGCGCAGCAGCTTCTCAGCAGGCGCCAGAGCCGAGCTGCACGGCTGCCCTGGCGCGCGCGAGCTGCTTCCCCGCGATCGCCACCCCGCCATATTTGGCCATTTTCAAAATCCAAGTCGTACCTATCCCAAAACAAAGGACACATGGTTGTGGCTCAAAACTCGATACCCCCGTTCACTGGACCCAATCCAACCACGAAAATAGGTTCTAGAATTGGTGGGGAATTCACCTACCCCAAAATAGGATCCCATTGGTGTTGACCCACATCTTCGTTGAATCCCAGGCTTCCCAGACTAAGATGGGTGGTGAATTCACCTACCAACCAAAATGGGACGCCAAAACGGTTTTGACAACCACAGCCATTTGCAGCGAAAGAAAAAAGACAGATGTTGCAAGGGTACATGCCTTTTTCTTCCATCTGACTTCGCTTGACATACCGAGAAAACCTAAAGGGAACCTCATGGGGTGTACGGCGGGGGCAGTCTATCAAATTGTTCACCGCTTATTCAATAAGGCCTCAGGGGGCTTAGCCTGGCATAGACTCCTGCCCATAGTCAAATTCAGGGGCCCACGATACCTAGGTCTATCTAAGAGTTTGTTGCACCCTGAGGTTTCACCAGCGAAACCACCCTATGGACTATTTTCACATAAAACCTGATGATTTTGGACCATGTTGGGTCATTTCGCCAGGCTGTGATCGCAGGGTGAAATTAAGCAAACCGGCAAAACCTTAGACTAGCAGGTTGCAACACAACTTTTGCTGAACTTGCTCATTTGTGGAAACGGGAAGTCGTGGAAGAAAACATCACACAGGCCTGCTGAGATGAGCTGTTCCACCAGCACACCATCGGTGCAAGGAATATCCGCTGTTTTTCATGCACCAGGTGGTATCTTGGGCATGGTTCTTGTACGAGAACCGCATGTTCAAACCATGCCTTGAGGTTCACATAATATGGACCAGAGTCGCAACATCGTATTTTCAGTCGGGCAAACAATGCCGGCTGGGCCCATCCCAAAAGTTCAGCGAAATGAGCCCTTGTCAGAACTTAGGTCAGAATATGACATGGGAAAGCGAGTTGCTCCCACCCCCCCCACCCCCCGGGTTTGGTGAGAAGTTTTGCGAGTCCCCCGCCCGAAACCTCCCAATACACCCTATCTTGCTAGAGTATGAAGTCAAACGATGTCAACCCCTGACAAAGGGCAGCTTAACCATGGAAAACCATGCCTTTTGACATACCGAATCAGAGATCACAAAAGAAAATCACAATCACAACCTTGTATCCCAACACACAAACACGGAACCTGAACGAAACTTGTGGACGACAAGGGACCCTCTTTCAGGCTCCATGTTTGCTTTGGGGCATTCGATCAGGCCAAATGACCAAATGCCCGCCTTTACCAAATACATATTTATATACGTGTATAGACAGACATACTTCCGTCAGACAAAAGTTTACGTGTCTTACTTGCTTTCATAAGAACGAACCAACAGGTGCGTTTTGTATGGCAGGCGTGGGACTGTCAATTATGACACCCTTTCAAATTTATTATCATGGTAGGCTTCCCAGGCCCGCGCAACTTGCAAAAGTTCTAGTTGAAAAGCCTGCTTTCCAGCGTACATGTGAATTTCCTGGGCAAGGGATGACATCATACCCCAAACAAAGCGGGCATCGGAGATTTCGGGGGTTCACAAACAGACCAAAGCAAAATCCAAAAGCAACCTTGATTCTGGGGCCCGGAATTTTCTGGTGTTTTGGCCCCCCGTAGCTTCTTTACACCCCACTTGTTCAGTCAGCCACTTGTCCAAGGGAACAGTTGGGTGCCACCACTGGGCGAAGTGCCTGCGCTGCCTACGTTTCCCCTGAGAGAAACTCAGGGGTGAAACTAGCCGTCGCAAAATAGTTGGCGCGTTCAGAAAACCCAACCAAAACGCTGGCGTTTTGACATGGGCCCCAAAGGTGATGTTAAGCCAAAAGGGGCAAAGAGTTGGTTGTTTGCTTGAGGGTACGCTTTTTGGGGGGTTTAGAGGGATTCCAAAGGGATCCCATACTCTTTCACCAGCTTAAAGCCTTGGGCTGTATGGGCCCCAAATAGGCCTCGGAGTGGTTCGGACAAAAGGCCCATCCCTCGCCCGAAGCGCCGAAGCGCCTTGCGTTTGCGCTCGCGATGTGACTTGTCCTTCTCAGAGTCAGAGGGAACACCTGGCGCGCGCATGCGTTGGGTTAGTTGCATGTGACAACCACGGCAGGCCTCTCTGAAGTTCCTTTCAGAGAGTGCCTGGTCTCCCCCTGCAAAGGAAAAAAGAAGCACAAAACACCGGTTGCAGAGTTGAATAGTTGGAAAGCACGTTGAAACCAGTGGAGGGTGACTTGGAGATTCTGGGCAAGATCTGGTGGCTTGAAGAACCATTTGTCAGCCAGGCTTCGCAAACGCGGGCTTGGAGGGAAGGGTTCAGCTTTCCAGATGCTCATGAAATAAAACTTGATCTCAGCATTTAAAAGGGTTCAACTACCTACGAATGCAACCACTAGGGTGTTTCTCATCTCCGGGAAGAAAAAGAAAACGTCCATGCCGAATACCTCCGTTGGTCAGTTGGCATCATGTCTCAAACGCGTGGGTATTTGGGTGTTTTGTTTTTGTTTTTGTTGTTCTTAAAGGTTGGACCCAAGATGGCTTCGGCGTTCCTATTGGTTTTCCTTTCAACAACTCCACAGGGCACCAACCCAACAAGAGACGTCGACCCATTTGGAGATTGCTTGGACTACGGTCAAGAAAACGGGGAGTGGCCCTCCAAACGCTTGGCGCAGGGAAGTTCAAGAGCATTTTCCGGTATGGGCTTTGGAGGTGAGGCGTAGAAACAACACACATGTGTAAGCCTGCAACGCGGTATATACCCCTTATGTGCGCGATATGGGGGTGTCCTGTTTTGAGGGTACCCCTTTTGTGTCACTGTGGTTGTTTAAAGGGAAACAAAGGAACACCATCGTTTTGTGGGGTCCCCAAATCGGCAGAAGTTTCTGCCTGTTTGGAAAAAGGCGCCTTTTGCTGTTGGCGGCGTGTTTACCTTTCCTGGAAGCAGCTTTTCAAAATCAAGTTCTGTGCAAAAAACGGCAGCAGGAAATCGGCGGCCTTCGGCGGGAAATCGGCGGAATTTCGCGGAAGCAGCGCATGTCGGAGTGGTTGTCGCGTTTCGGCTTTTTTCTCGCGGGCGGCGTTTTGTATTTTGTTCTTTGATTTTCCTCGGAAATGTCTGCCGCCGGGGCCTTTCGGCAGAAAGTGCTGCCGCCGGAGGGTCCAGGTATATCCCCCCATACCTCCAAACCCATACCTGAACATGCTCAAGAGTGGCTCCAAACGGAGAAGCCGTACCGATGGTCGACAAACAATTCGCGCGAATCGATCGTTGCAGCTGTCGGGATGGTTTGTCAACCAGTAGGGGGGGGGGCTTGTTCACAGAAATAGTTTGGGAAAGGCCTTTTCGGGGAGGGGAGGATTGACGGGGGTCCGCAGTTAGGACTCTGGTGCCAAACGAATAGCGTGCCACACACACACAGACACCTCAAATGCGCATGCCTCCCAGCGCTATATCGTTGCAGTGCTGGGATATAATTAGGGGGATTATGTTTATGAACAGGACTCGATACCTTGCCCCTTGTTATGTAGGGGCGTAGTATTTCTGCGTTGGGAGGGCCCGTTTGGAAGGGGGCCTTCAACTTCGACGTCCTTCTTTCGCGACGTATCACGAAGGGTCTTGCCTTGTAGCTTGCCGACAGCTCCAGGCTCCATGGTTGACCTCCAAAAAACCCGGCCACAAGGAACACGTGCCAAAGCGCCTTACGGAACGGAACGGTTGCATGGCGTTGCTGGTTGCATGGTTGCTAACCACTTGCCTCAAGGACCCTGCCCCTTCAAGTAGGGCGGTGGGGCGGGGGAAAAAATGTAGAAAAGGCTGGCTCTAGGGGGTGGGGGGTAGATGGTTGCCTGTTCTGTTTTTTTATTTCACAATTCAACACGTGTACCACCTTATCCGTTTTTAAAAGGCTGATTTTGGGGGCATGAAATAACGATATGGATGTGGTAACGAATTGATGATTTGGTCCCCTGTTTCGTTCCAGATTTCAACTTTTAGTTTTATTGATTGAAAGAGGTTAGGACTTTCTGCGGTTTCACGGGTTGGCTTTTGGGCGGTTCTTCTGGTTTGTCATTTAATGAAATGTTTATAGGTTAAAAGTTCGCTATAATTATAACATATAATATTTTACAAGTTATTATTATAGTATGGTTATAATTTCAGTTCAGGATAATAATTTAATTGACACATCTTACTTCTTTCATACATCATTTTAAATATAATATCAATATCTCTCACTGTATTTTTAACATTAAACTGTTCACTTTCAATATATGATTTAATGTATTCTTTTTCATTAAACCCTTCCCTTCTATAATAAGTCAACATCTTTAATATTATGTCAATCATTTCATACTTTTTCTTACTGATTTTAAGGAGCTGTTTAACATAATCATAAGGCGGAATTTCATAAACACTTAGAAATATTAAAACCTCATCTTCTACATGTCTATTATTTCTTCTTTGTATTCTCAACACACAATTGATTATAGCTTGGTTATCTCTCCAAGTTTTACAAGTTTTACATACATCTTCTTCACCCATCGCATAATGTATAATATTATTTACTATACCATTTGGTAAATTAATTTTGTATAATTCCATATTTTCTTTTTTGAAGTGGCAACAATCATAGCATTTCTCATTAATATAACTGTTGATTTCATCAAAGTTCATTGTCTCTTATTATATTATATGTTTTTCTTTAAGTAGTGTTGAGCTAGGGGTTTCAGGTTTCATTTAAATGCCTTGTTAGATTATAAAACGTTGTTGTAATCATATTATAATTATAGAATATCATGAATAAACAACAGTTAGTTTGTCCCGTATTCAATCTCACCAGCGATACAACCACTATAACAACTCATACCATACTCACAACTACAGAGGATTCACGGTGTGTCATATGCTAGGTGGTATTGATAACCCAAATACCGAGGGTATTGAGAACCCAAATACCGAGGGTATTGAGAACCCAAATACCGAGGGTATGGCATACTAGGGGTATTTCATACTGAGGGTATTGAGAACCCAAATACCGAGGGTATTGAGAACCCAAATACCGAGGGTATTGAGAACCCAAATACCGAGGGTATTGAAAACCCAAACACAAATTCCTTAATCCGTCAAACTCATCAAAATGTCAAGTATTAAATCAGTAGGTGTCTTATACAACTCATCTTGTTTATGTTGGATGTTAGCATTTTTCAAATCCAAGGAAATAACGCTGTAGCCCAAATCACGAGCGACCTTTCCAACACTGTCTGTTACACTAAATAATTCTAATAGTTAAATATTATTAGAATTACTTAGATACTGATATGTTTGATTATATTCATTATTTTCATTATCATTTGATTTATTTGATTGACAAATCTTAGTCTTTTGATGTCTGCTTAATTTGCTTTTGCGACCTACTACTCCACAGACTTCGCACACTACATTCTGCTTGTTTTGTTCAAGAATTTGTTCTCTATTCATTTGGTAATATTCTTTTCTATGTTGTTTATGTTCTTCTTTATTGTTTTGATACCATTCTTTCATTCCGTTCTTTATTTTCTCTTGGTTAAGTGGATTACACATTGCTTTGTATTCTTTTGGTGTTCTACCTGCCACACAACGATTGACACATTCTGTATTTTGGATATGATAACCTTCTCGTCTAAGTAGTTGCTCTTTACTATCACACGGGTAGTGTTCAATGAGTTCTATCTTACA